TGTCAACGCCGAAGGAAACTTGATGGCAGTTAGCAAAGACGAAACGACAACGAAGAGCGCGACGAGATACGACTACCAATGGACGTCGAACACCGGGCAACATGTACTGGCCTGACGAACCGTACACACGTAGGCTATACATCAAATACACCCCCCGCCCCCCAAAAAATAGAGAACGCTCTGCACCTGAAACCACAAAGAAATGCAAAGAGCTGGAGGTGTGCGTCAAGATGCATAACCCCATGAGAGACGCATGGACCCATGCACAACATCGAGACCGACAGGGACAGAAGTTCAACAGATGCTCCTGATTCGAATTTTCCTTCTTTTTTTTCTTTATTTCTCTCTTTTTTCTTATGAGGGGCAGGGATGAATGCGCACTAACCCTTTTCGAAAAGGCGGGGGCCTGATTTGGTCGTGGTAGTCAAATACTGGACGGTTCCTGGAGTCTCCTTGGAAGGCAAACTCAATGACTATATTCAAAGGCGAACAATAATGTGACAGCCTGAGGTTCCCCGGGACGGAGGGGATGGAGATTCGGATATCACTGGAGGAAGCACGCACGAGTCGGACATGGAACCTCCACCGCAAAACTAACCATGGGTGTCTCCTGTCGTACATTGCAACCTCACCTCCGTTCCCTCGTCATCGCCATCGTCACCCTCGCCGGTGAGACTCTTCTTCTTCTCCTGCCTCTTGTTCCATGCCGTTCGGTGAGCGCTGAAGATGCTACGCAGCTTTTCCACGATGACCTCCCGCGACAGTCCCTGTGACATCGGTGCGAACGGGAAAAATCAAGGGGGGCGAGTCTCTCGAACGACAATGCTATCGTTACTATATCATGTCCGCCACGGCTGACCGAACACTGCCTGAGGTACACGGGGTGGGGGAGCTCTTATCTCTCATAACCCAGCGTTTTCGTGCAAATACTTTGGCGATATGTAGGAACAACAGTAAGTAGTGTCGTTAGGAGGCATTTGGAAATGGGCGCCGTTTGTGCGACTAGACGACAACGGGTTTACACACAGCTACATTTCAAAGTGGTTAGGTGATGGGTTGTTTCGCAACCGTTTTCATAAATTCTGCATTCGTTCCTGGCACGGAGGCCTTCTTCTTTACAGCCCACCCTCTTCTTTACATACCTTCTGCCCCCGCCCCCGCCCCCCACAACGCTTTATTTGGCTTCATA